TTTTAGGATTCCCATGTCCCAAAAATTAGTTTTGGTTTTGGGACTTTAGGATTTAAAGAGGGAGAATTAATTCCCATGTGTAAATATTCTTCCAGGTATCAGGGGGTGGCTTTCCCTCTATGCACCTGACCTCCAGAATAACATGCATTTGTTGAATAATGCTAATAAATCAAAAGCAGCAGATTAACCTTGAAAACGTCCTGATATGGGATGACAGGCAACTTTTTTATACTTTCCTGTTTTGCTAATCTTTCTTTAATGAATAGGTGTTACAGAGCCATCCTTGGGTCAAGAAGGTAATAATAGTAGCCTTCTTCATGTGAGACTTGTTATCAAATTGTATACTTTATGTGCAGTTTCTGTTATGTCACTTATACTTTTTTTTATAAAAAGGCATTGTTGAAAAAATAATGATAGTAATGGAAGTGTGACACAGTGCAGCAAAAACATTAAAGTCAAGAAGATTTCAAAGAGCAGGGTAACCCTTGAGCTTACCTGTGCAGAGCCTCAAAGGAAGAATGAAGTTTGCTAGCAGAAAACAGAAATCAGCAGGATGGAGCATTCCGCGGGGAGGGGATCAGAACACGATACACAGCTGAAAGTATTGTGGGTGACAGTCATGTCACTTTCAACCCTGGGTTCTAATGATTTGTACAGGTGTCACCTCCACTCTTAACTTGCTGGACTCACTTCTGTGACCCTTAAAAAGTCTAATAGAGAATCTCGCAGGCCTGGCAGAGTGCTCCTAGAGGAGGACAATACCAGTGCACAGAAGGGGTGGACTTCCCCAGGCATCTACCTACAGAAGACGTTTGCGAGGGGAGAGAAGACCCGTGAGACAGAAGCTACACATGTGTTGGTATCTGGGTGGGGCGGCAGGAGACACAAAAATGGAAAGCGTTTCAGTGTGTCTTCCCTTCGGAGAAAGGAACTTTGGTCTCCCTGTGTTCTGAACCCAGCCTTGCTTTGGCTCCATGAAGAATGTCCTGCATAGTCTGTGGGGCCCCTGGGGTTTTGCAGCTGGCTGGACAGAACGGTGCTCCTTCAGAAGCAGCAGCCCCAGGACCCGAAGTTTGCCAACAGACACCTTATCAGGGTATCTGATAAGAGGACTAAAACCTGGGAGTGGCCCGGTAAGGTAGCTGACCCCTCCACAAGCAGGCTGGCCAAATGCCAGTAAGAATGATAATGGGACATTATTTGTACCCACAGAGTGGCACAGTTTAGAACACTGGGGTGAGAGTCAATTACTTTTGAGCTAACCTTTGTTGTTTCAGTGTACCACCAAGAAAACGTCAGCTAGCAACATGTGATTATATATTAGGGACAAAGTGTTGATTTTATTCTTGCCTCTCCTACAGAAGACTTCCACAGAGGTTTGTTTTGTTTTGTTTTTTATACCAGTTACTTCAACCATTTTCAGTCTCTCTTCACTCCCCACCACACAAAACAGAAATAATAGTGGTTAATTACACAGGTGTTTTAGTTAAAATTTAAAGTTTACTGTCTATGAGATACATGATTTTATGGTATGTAATCCTAATTCGGGTCATCTGTAAGCTCATCTTGCATTCTCTGCTGAAGAGTCTGTGATCAACAATCATCCTCTGGGTTTTAGGACACACCAAGAAATTAAAAATTTTAGCTGGGCATGGTTGCACATGCCTGTAGTACCAGCTTCGAAGGATCACTTGAGCCTAGGAGTTTGAGGCTGCAGTGAGCCATGATCATGCTACTGCACTTCAGACTGGGTAACAGAGTAAGATCCTGTCTCTAAAAAATAAATAAAATAAGTAGCACAGTGGCTCACGCCTATAATCTCGACACTCTGGGAGGCCAAAGCAGATGGATCAACTAAGGTCAGCAGTTCGAGACCAGCCTGGCCAACGTGTGAAACCCTGTCTCCACTAAAAATACAAAAAATTAGCAGGGCCTGGTTGCTGGGGCCTGTAATCCTAGCTACTGTCGGGAGGCTAAGACAGGAGAATTGCTTGAAGTCAGAAGGCAGAAGCTGCAGTGAGCTGAGATCAGGCCATTGCACTCCAGACTGGGCAACAAGAGCAAAACTCTGTCTCAAAAATAAATAAATAAATAAATAAATAAATAAATAATTTCTATTTCCCATTTGTGTTAACAGTCTTAGAAAAAATTCTGTTCTTTTTTTCTTTTTAAATGAGCTTAATGCTGGAAACTATGTCAGTTACCATTCTTGTCCATTTGTTGGTGTGTGAGTATTTCCCCTCCCTAGTACAGATGCCTCCAAATGGCCCAGATCTACAGATAGCACAGAGGAGTTAACTAAATGGGACTCAAAGTTTTTTTCACATGCCAAAGCTAAAACTAATTTATGTACAGATATAAACTCTTAAATTCCCTAGAAGAGAAGGAAAACATACCAATCTACAAGGGAGATTTAATTGTGTATGCCTTCTTAGTAACAGCATCTATCCAAAATAGGCCAAAATCATTTTTACAGATGATATTTTCATCCCTCATTTCAGAAACAATATTTCATCTTCATATAATCATTTCCAAAAACGGAATCTCAGGGTGAGAGTTGAGCTTGTTCTTTTTCTTCAGATGAATAGCTCATTATTACCATAATTGAAAGAGGTTTATTGGGCATCTGCATATGACTCAGGCTGTTTAATAGAGTGGGAATCCCTTACCCTCTCAGTTTTCCCACCCAACCTCTGCCTGCCAGACTGGCTCATTTTATACTGTTTCAGTAGAATTTCTTTTTGAAACAGACATTAGTACTTGGATTTGAGTGTAACGTAAGTCACATCAAACGACATCCCTTACCCCATAACAACCTATACTCATGGAGCAAAATTCTGGTAAAATATGTTAAGCTATATAATGGAAGTTAATTCAGTTTCACTGGATTTTTGTTTTATGTGTGGAATTTTAAAGGAGTTTTACTGGATTTTATGTCCTGCTGCTTATTCTTTGTTTACATTCCTACCGTCTCAGTTCACTCATTCTTTTATAAGTCTCTCATATTTTTATTTTTATTTTTTTACTTTATTAGCTTTTGGGGTACAACTGGTTTTTGGTTACATGGATAAATTGTATAGTGGTGAAGTTTGAGAGTTTACTGTGCCCATCGTGGGAGGAGTGTACATTGTACCCAGAATGTAGTTTTCTATCCTGTGTCCCACTCCTGTCCTCACACTTCTGGATCTCCATAGTTCACTATAGTACTCTGTGTTCCTGTGCATACCCATAGCTAAACTCCTACTTATAAGAACAATATGGTATTTGGTTTATTTTCTATTAAATGAGAATTTTTCAAGGAAAGAGGATGTAAATCCTCAAAATAATTTCTTATTTTGTTTTAATGCAAACTTAAATTTAATGTAAAATTAAATTCAGTCTCTATTTACCTGAGCAATAACTAAACTTAAAATACTGTGTAGCACTGGCTTTATTCCATTGCAGATAAGTAGATACTGTAGTAATCTTTTTACAACACTTATTAAACAACAGCTGTTTAATAGAGTGTTCCTGGTGGTATAATTGCCAAACGCATCTATAGGAAGTGGGTTGAAGTAAAGGTTTATTCAAAGATAAATTAGTTAGATTAAAAGTCAACAGGTCAGTGTCTTAAATATAAGAACCCAAACTGTAAGTATCAGGGAGGAAAACATAGGTTTAAATCTTCATGGCCTTGAATTTGGCAATGGATTCTTAGCTATGACACCAAAAGCATGAGCAACAAAAGAAAAATTAGATAAATTAAAGTTTATTTACAATTTTTTGAATTTTAAATTTAGAAAATTTAGAATTTTTGTGCATCAAAAACATTGATAAAATGAAAAGACAATTTACAGGATGGGAGAAAATGCTTGCACATCATAAATCTGGTAACAGTTTCGTATCTAAACTATATCAAGAACTCTTTCAACTCAACAATGAAAAGACAAACCAATTAAAAAATGGCAAAGGACTTGAATAAAGATTTCTCTAAAGATGTACAGATGGCCAACAAACCCATGAAAAGATGCTCAACATCATTAGTTATTAGGGAAATACAAATCAAAACTACAGTGAGACACCACTTCATACCCACAAGGATAGCTATAATTTTGTTAATGGAAAATAGCAAGTATTGGCAAGGATGTAGATAAATTGGAACCTCATACATTGTTGGACTGAAAAATGATTTCACTACTGTGGAAAATGGTTTGGCAATTCCTTAAAAAGTTTAACATAAAGTTATTATATAACCCAAAAATTCTGCTCCTAAGTATATACACAAAATGATTGAAAACATGGACTTGAACTAGGGTACATACACACATTTCATAGCGGTATTATGTACAGTCTCCAAAAGGTAGAAACAGCCCAAATACTCATTAATAGATGAGTGGACAAACACATTGTTGTATATCCATGTGATACAATATTATTCAGCCATAGAAAGGAATGAGATGCTGCTACATGCTACAGGATGGATGAACCTCAAAAACATTATGTTACCTATAAGAAGCCAATCACAAAGATCACATATTCTATGATTCCATTTATATAAAATATCCAGAATAGATAAATCCAAGAGACAGATGGAAATTGGTGGTTGTAAGGGGCTGGGGCATGAGGGATATGGGGAGACCCTGCTTAATGGGTAAGGGATTTTACTTCAGAGCAATGGAAATATTTTGTAACTAGATAGAGGTAGTGGTTGTACAACCTTATGAATGTACTAAATGCCACTGAATTGTTCACTTTAAAATAGTTAATTTTATGTTACATGAACTTCGCCTCAATAAACAAAACAAAAAGTCGTTAATACAAAATAAAAATGTTTGTGAAGTGTATTCCCAGAACTGCTTAACATGTACATGTACACTTTCATGTATATGTTTCTCGTTAAAGTAGCTAGTGAAGATTAAGAACAATGAATTGGTTCTGAATGACCAGCAACAGATCTCATGTTTAACTTGGGTTTTGAAAGTCAAAATAAGAAAATTAATTGTTATTTCTTGTTTTTTCAGGACTCTCAGCTTGTATCCTCTGGACACAATAATCCAAGTAAGAAAGACTTCACTCGAGGTTTCATATGGGGAGCAGGTGGTAGGGGTGGAGGGCAGAAGGGGAGGGAGGATGAGCACGCAATAGACAGTTGGTTTCAAAGAATTTTACCAAAAAATTAGGAAAGGGACCATTTGTTCAAGTGCTGCCCAAATGAATGATAAGATTTATGATGACCTTGAGTGTACATATTCAAGAAAAGGAGGGCCAAACAGAAAATGGTGAATTTCAAAGCCATCCTAAGAGAAAGAAACATCATGCTTTATTGTAGTTGTTTCTAGTATATATGGAGGAAAAAAAGAAAACTTAAAAGGCACATAATTGGTTGTCTAAATTAAAGGAAAATGAGTGAGCCAAGAAAACAAATCAGTAGACCTTAAGATAAATGACTTTAGAATCCATGAAAAAAGAAGTCACAACTGGCTGGGTATGTGTACCGTGCCCTCTTCCAGAAATAGAGACTCAACTATCTAAGAAGCAGTTTCCTTATTGAATTGGTAGCTAATAAAACACATGGACTTTTTTGTCAAAGAAAGGATGTTATCATTTCATGAGGTAGTGTTTTAGTTCTCTTCTTTGGCACTACTAATTGGTATGAATGTTGTCTTGATCATTAAAAATGCATAAACTACCCCGTTCATGTCCTAAAAGCACACTCACAAAGACTGGGCTGTGTTCGTTTCACGACCAGCCAGCAAGCTAAGAGCACCCCTTGCCAAGTACAAAGCTGCATTTGAAGACTGAGCATCCTCTGAGCTGTAGCTCTGTCTGTGGAACTGAGGCTCAACCACTGGGCAACTGCAAGGCAAATGGGCTAGACAGAAAAGACGTCCAGGCAAATGCATCGGGAAGCAGCAGAATTTTCAGGCACAGCTAGAGAAAGGCTAGCTGTGATAGCAGGGGTGATAGCACAGTGGAGTAGGGGCAATGTCACTTAATTATCCCACCCTCTGTTGGGATTTGCTGTGGGCACAGGCACCAGTGATGAGGCAGAATGCCAAGAGACATGAAATCTGAAGAAAATGATGAATTTAGTCATAAGAAAAGTGATCAGAAGAAGTGCTTGGTTAAGTCCATGTGGTGGTATACAGGCGTCAGCATCACACACCGCAGTCTAGAATGTCTTGAAGAGTTGCCATTGCTTTCCTCACTGTGTCTCACTAATTAATTTAAATGTTCAGGGTGAAGGGAAAATCTGTGTCATAGATGAATGAATGCACCTTCTCCCAAGCTTGGCAATTTTGACAGACAGAAGAGCAAAGGAAATTCTCGTTAAGTGTCTATTCTGTGTTAGCCTCCTGACTTAATGGTATTTCACTTAATCTTCACAATAGCTGCATGAGCAAGGCTTTAGGATCTCAATTTTACACATGAAGAAGATGAGATTCTGAGGCTAATAACTAGTCATTTTTAGTCACCTTGCTAAGAAAAATGACAGCTAGAATTTGAATTCAGAGATCTCTGCCCCAAAGACACAGCTTTTCATCCCACTATGTTGAGTCCCAGAAAGCTGCTGCTATCACTTCACCATGAGATTGAATTCTTGTCCTGTAACTATCTGCTGTGATTTCTGTGTATATCGGCATATTTTTATGGCATGCTGTAATATTCACTGCAATTTAAATTACGTAAAAACTGACCCTTCTTCTACAGGACATGATATGGCACTATCCCTGTGTGGTACAAAACTCTCTAGCATTTCATTGTCCAGGAAAAGTTTTTGATTCGCTTTTACTTTTCTAGGAGTAAGGGGACTTTCTTTTTTTTTCCTTTTCGTTTTCTTGAGACAAGATCTTTCTCTGTTGCCCAGGCTAGAGAGTACAGTGGCACAATTAGAGCTCACTGTAACCTTGAATTTCTGGGCTCAAGAAGTCCTTCCACCTTAGCTTCCCAAGTAACCAGGACTACAGGAACATACCACTTTTTAAACTTTTTCTTAGAGACAGCATTAAACTATGTTGCACAGGCTGGTCTTGAACTCCTGGCTTCAAGTGGTCCTTTTGCCTTGACCTCTCGAAGTGCTGAGATTATAGGTGTGAGCCACCATGCCTGGCCTTTTTTATTTTTAAATAAATCTTTCTCCAACACCCCAGCATGTGTATATAAAAATAATATTCCTATTAAAAATCTGAGCATTCTCTGCAACTTACAGCACATTTGAAACTTGAGGAGAACTGACCCCACCAGCATTTCTCATGCTGTTTTTGTGTTTGGTTTGGAGTCATGATTCCAGTAAACATGTAGGAAATAGAGAAATATAGAACTTCAGAGAAACCAAAAACAAAATATATGTGTGGATTGATTACTAACTCTCATTATTTTAGGCCAGTGATTTTATTCTCTTTGAAGTGAGAAAGACTGTATTATATAGATACTAAAGAAAATATTGTATAAACAGAAAATGACTTTCAATACAAATCTTTTAAACGATAGATTGTTTGCTGAATTACTGATCAATTGAACTTGATATTATAAAATGGAAGCTTATTAAGCATTGAGATGCTTGAATGTTTACATAGATGATTTATGTCTACATTTTTTAAAATTATGAGAACATCCTATTCAGTTGACAGACTGCACTTAAGCAATTCTTCCTCTCCCTTCAAAATTCCCACCTAACAGCCATGAAGCTGTAGTAATGGAAATAAATCCAAAATAGCACCGAAACCAGGAAGAAGTGTCATCAGCAAACCAGAAATTCAGCTGTGTTTCTGGAAAGCCAGAAGTAATAAGACCCTACTGAAAAATAATCTTCAACAGGGAAAGTCATGACACAGCAAAGGAAGAAAGATGAGACAAACAGGAACAAGCTTTAGTGGTGGTGGGAATAGCCCCCAGGAGCCCCAGGCAAGACCACATTTCCACTGGACCCCAAGAGAGAGCAAGTGCAAATTGCTTGCAGTGATGGAAACACCTGGCCATCCTTCAACCATTACCCCTCCACCCCGATCCTTGCAGATTCCCACACAGAGCTTTCAGGGTAATTTTTTTCTCAGAAACAGAACAGATTCTAAGATAATACCAGACCTTAAAAATAGATGACATGGGGTAATGGCAGAAGAGTCAGCTGTTTCTTGAGGGAAATACACAAAAATCCTACACACCTAAAGTACAGTACTTTATATTTTTCTTGGAGGACTGAGTGGAGGAAGGGTTTGGGCTTGCAGCTTGCCTGGAGGTTTCTCTTCTCTTGAGCCTTGCATGAATCCTTCAAGTCAACATACCCTGCCCACTTACAAAGGACCATATATCAGCTCTTCTTTACAAGGAATAGATATGTTAGAAAAATGGATCAGTATACTGATACAGGAGAGCCATGCCAACTACCTTTGTTAAGCAATTTGTTATTTTAAAATATGAATATATCACCAGTGAGCACCAAAAAGAAAGACTAGTCCCAAAGAAAACCTAGAAAATCTAATTCAAGGAAAAGGAGAAAAAAAGTTGCAAGCATAATTACAGTCCTTAGAAACATTTGAAATTATTTGTGTTAAATAAAAAGAGAACAGATTGATATGAAAAAGAGGTAATTACAGAACAAGTGAACATTTGAGAATTAAAAATATGATTGACAAAATAAAAAACAATAGGAGGGATGGTAATAGCTGAAGTCTGAAACCTTGAATATAAAGTTGAAAACTCTTTTTTCTGAATATAAAGTAAAACACAGATGGAAAATATTAAAGGGATTGAAGATACACAGCCAGTCAAGGCACGGTGAAAATCCAGCTAATAGTAATACCAGAAAAAGAAAATGGAGAGGAATGAATAATAATAAAAATAGAGCACCAAGGGAAATGAGCAACTTACACTGAGAAAAGGACCCCTTACAAAAAGGAAACAAGACTGTGAGCAAGAACAAGAACAAACAGGAGAGCAGAGAGTCAGACTCTTTCAGAAACTGGAGTTGTCAAGCCTAGAATATAAAATCAGAGCCCTTACTTTAATTTCTGGAAATAAAAGAGAGGATTGGAAATATGGTAAAGAGCAAAAAAAAAAAAAAAAAAAAAAAAAAAAAAAAAAAAAACTTAAAGAAGTGTTAAACAGAACTTCTAGCAATAAAAAATATTCTTTTATTATATAAAAGAATATAAACTTCTAGGAATAATAGAAATTATCATTTCCATGGGCAGGCATAACAGCACATTAGACATGGCTGAGAAAGAATTAAAGAATTGGAAAGACTAATTTAAGAAATTATCTAGAATGCAGCCTAGAGAGACAGAAATGGAAAATAGCAAATAAGTTAAGAGACGGGGTTAAAGTGGGGAAGTCTAACATACATCTAACTAGAATTTCAAAAAGGGAAAGGGAAACAAGAAGAAAATGATTGATAGCTGAAAATTTTCCAGACTTGAAAGACATTAATCCACAGAGTCAAGAAACCCAGTGAATACCAAGGATGAATGAAAAAAAAAGTCCACACTACACACATTGTAGCTAAACTGCACATAAAGAAAAATTAAAATACCCTTTAAAATCTTCAAAAATGCAGGCAACTTACAGCTAACTTCACAACAGCATCAGTGGGAGCCCACAAACAGAGAAATCGAAATGTCACTGAGTTGAGAAAAAATAACTATCAGTTTAGGATTGTGTGTTTTGCAAAAAAAAAATTAATGAATCAGGACATTTACAGACAAAAGCTGAGAAGCTTTGCCACCAGTAAATCCTTACAAAAAGAAATTTTTAAAGACATACTTTGTTCAGAAGGAATGTGAGGTATAAGAAGGATTAAATGCAGTGAAAGTAAATATGGGGAAAATTTAAACAATGATTGCATGTACCAATATTAATATATTGTTAAGTAATCAAAATAAAAGTACAGTTGGAATCTACAAAACAATAGCATAAAATAAGATGAGGAGAATTTGGAATTAAAATCATCTAAGTTCTTGTAATTATTTCAGAGAAGGATAAAAATTTTAACTTTGGACTTTGATAAATAGGGTATTTGCAATATTTATGCTAGGCACTATAGTAAAAGGCATATAACCTAC